TAGGGCTAGACACCCAATCAGGTGGGTCTTCTCCATTTCCTCCTGTAAGAAACGTTAAGTTCAACTGAACTCTTTCAATCTTACGTCTGTCCTCCCTTCAATACCTATGGCATCAATAGCGTATCAGGTTTCGTACAACAATATCGAGGAAACAGACGTTCGGTGTGGAACACATTTATTTAGGGTGTGCGTCCATCATAAAGCTTAGTCATTTAACAATGAAGGCTTTGTTAAAGAGGATAGGGATTATTGATTGGTGTCTGGTTGAGAGTTCTCTGTGCCCACGACCACACGCGCGAGTAAACACATTTCAGGTACTCAGACGTCAGTACATGATTAATGGTCCTTTGTATTACCTTGACGATGTTGGGGTGTGTGATAGACGACGACGGTGCCCAAAGTTAGCCCTTTGGCCAATGAAGGCCACGTCTAGGACTCATTGGCCTTAATGTCCCCTCAAAGTGACCTGATTTCTTTTACATTACACGGTGAAGGAACCATGCGAAAAAATAGGTTGAAAAGGCGTCTAATTCTAAACAACCTAACAGCTACTTTAAACTAGCCTCGTTTATTACGGATTGATATTGAGACTTCACGCGTTTAACGAAGCCTCATACCTTATTAAACGTGACACACAATAAGAGCACCGTCAATATCTACTAAGTAGGTGTGGCAGGGTTGTAAAAAAAAGCCACTTTTGTGAACTCATTCAGTCAAATTAAAGCAACGAATTCTACTCAAATATGAAATACGAAATCCGAAAGGAGATTTCAACGCCCTACGAAGGTGGAAAGTGGAGACGAAATGTAGTCTCGTTATGTTTGTCCTATAATTTGGAACAAGTGCATCATGAAGAAACCGCGCAGTGCTACAGGCGTGAACTAGAAAATACCAATTTCGATGATCGTGGAAGATATTTCAATATTGAAAGCACCTTTAACGCCCTAGGATAAAATTACTTTACGAGTAAAACTAAACTAGACGTGGAAATCCCAACCCTCAGCCCAACATGGTGCACATTAATTTTAAGTTATTGGGTATATTTGACAACGGGAAAAGAATGGGAAGTAGACGGAAGAGAAAGGGGGAACATGGAGTTAGAAGCGAATGAGGAGTGGGGGATAGACTTACCTCCACGTGGTGCACCCTGGGTAACGTATACTCATACGGCAAAAAGTCTATTAACCGGCAGTTGACTTCTGACTTCAAATTACTCTGACCCCACTGTATGTCATATTCCACCACTTTCACAGTACTCACCTCACCTTCTTTCTACCTTTGTGCCTGACTCTTCTACATCTTTGAAACACTCCTCTGTTCCCCTCCCCTCATCTCGACTTTTTTCCCTTTAATGTTCCTTCCCCTCTGTGAAGCCTGAAACCAACTAAAGGGCTAATGATAACTATCAAAACGCCTGCCATACCGAAGTCAGTTAAAGGGCTAATGATAGCTATCAAAACGCCTGCCATTTGTTAAGGGCTAATGATAACTATCAAAACGCCTGCCATTTGATACTAATAAAGAAATAAATAAATATTGAGCGAATGGTGTGATTAAAAGTGACTGCGGGCCGGGGGGGGGTAGGATAGATGAATTGGTTAGCTTTGTGACGTTTGCGAATCGTTATGTAAAAGTAGGTCGAACCGACTTATGCCTTCTCGCCACCGATGAACTTACTGATTAACATGACAGATTGGCAATATCTCAATAGGTGAATGTATTTTTGTGAAAAAAAGGCAACGCCATGTGAGTGCAGGTCAACACACACACACATCAGGATTAAAGCACCTCTATCCATAGCGTAACCTCAATTGGTACCAAACGATAGCGCAGTGGCTCTTTTGATCTGATCAATCAAATTTTGTAATGCCAATTAATGTAAGACTGAAGCAATAATAAAAAGTGCACAAGTATAAGCACATGACAAGAGGTGCGTGGAAAGTCAATACCAAAATAATCATTGGAGAGAAAGTGAAGGTCAATGAAAGTAGAACGTAAAGCATGTGCATATGTCTACTTTTTCAAAGAGTCAGAATGCACTTTAACATTGGCATTAATTGAATCTTCCCTTGTCATCCCGAAAAGAATGTTTCAATATTGTTATCTCTCGAAAATGTAAGGCATTACTCTCAGAAATCAGTTCTTCTATAAATTACATTAAGTGGAATTAAGTTACTGCTCATCTTTTCAAGATCATGTTACACCCGGGGTGTGCGATAGACTTACCTCCACGTGGTGCACCCTGGTGGGTGTGCGATAGACTTACCTCCACGTGGTGCACCCTGGGAAACGTATACTCATACGGTAAAAAGTCTATTAACCGGAAGTTTGTGTGCGATAGACTTACCTCCACGTGGTGCACCCTGGGCAGCGTATTTTCTTACGGCAAAAAAGTCTATCACTCGGCTTTCGTTATATTCATACGGCAAAAAGTCTATTAACTGGCAGTTAACTACGATAGACTTACCTCCACGTGGTGCACCCTGGGCAACGTAGACTCATACGGCAAGAAGTCTATAAACTGGCAGTTGACTCCTGGCTTCAAACCACCATCACCCCACTGTATGTCATATTCGACTACTTTCACGGTACTCACCTCACCTTCCACCTTTGTGTCTGTCTCTTTTGCATCTTTGAAACGTTCTTTTGTTCCTCCCCTCCCTCTCGACTTTTTTTCACTTTGATGTTCCCCCCCCCCTCTGTGAAGCCTGAAGTCAACTAAAGGGCTAATGATAACTATCAAAACGCCCCCACACTTGATATAAAATAAATGTTGCACCCATAATTAATTCCTCTAAACTCATAAATTTCTAAGGTCCACAAGTAAAGCGATCAAGATGTTGACATTCGACGACGCTCAACAGAAATTTCAGGTTCCCAATCGAGTGTGGGGGGGCTGGAGGGGGGCCAACAAATCCAATTGCAAACGTACACGTGATTTTCTAAATTTCGCCTAACCTTCTTGTCCAATAGCTACATCTCCACCCCGCCAACCAATCGTGTTAGTCACAATTGTCTCCCCTCGTACTGGCTTAACTTGAGGTTGCTCCAACATCGCGCGGTGTCTTGTTGTTCACTGTTAATTATTCTCAAATTTGAATGCTTTTTTTAAAATGTAATAAATTGTAGTCACACGTTATGACGGAGTTCTGAGCTAAGTGGCGAATTTGGAAGTCTATCTGGGTTATAAAAGCTACCTTAGCGTCATAGAGATATTCCCTATTCACTCGTCTAGAATTATCGCCTTAAGTGATCCAGTGGTCCAACGCCTTACGTCATTGTTACGTTAACACATACTGCCATGATGCCCTAGGCTGGTTACCGCAGTCCCTTATAGGTTCTAAATCAGCATTCTAGAAAATATACCTGGATGATGAAGAAGCCCTATGCGCTGCCAGACTTTTATCTAGGCCATTTGCACTCTCTGACACCTAATTGCCTCGACCACAAGTCATCGTAAAAAAAAACAACTATACGTTCTCGGAATGAGCCCTTAATGGGATTCACAGTTTCCTCGGCCAACACCGTCCGAAATAACAAACGCCCCTCCCGTTTATGTGAAGTAACTAGTTGATTCTTCCCTGGTTAAAGGTTCGCCAATGCTTTTCTACTCTCCCTTATGTTGACGTCGGTTAATGGTGTTCGGCCTGACCTGAGGCAGTGGCTATCTACTAACCCTAACTTCTAACTAGGCAATCTCGTTTCTTATCGATTCAACAATCTAAGCTAACATTGAACTTGAGAGATAGAAAGCATGGGGACAGAAGAAACATTAACTACAAAACCAATGCAGCAAGATAGACTGCACACATCTGAGCCAATTGGGCCTGATGTATGTTTACTTTATCATTGGCTGATTACTGTAAACCACCCTTAACGGCTGTGTTTATGCGACCAGAATGTTAATCTCCTAAGTTCAAGTGTCCGTTACTTACTAGTGAGCAACAAAATTTGTCACTACAAATGAGTGATGAGTTATTCGAATACACTACTTTAACTATTAATCAACAAAGGTTGTATATTAAATCAATTAGGAAATGTTCGCTGTCCTGGCTGCTCCATCACCGCCTTTAAATAACTCAGATAGAATTTTTATACAACCACCAGTGGGGCGGCATTAAATGCGAATGTTTGTGAAATTGCAGATCAACCATTTGTTGCCTGCATTTGACAACGATGAGATAACAGAGTCCGGGTTTATCACCAAAGGTCCATCTCTATTTGACTTAACACAATCTTATTATAAAACTATGTCTCAGCTCAATGTCAAAATCAAATGGATTAGTAAAAAATGATATGTCGGTCAAAACAAGAGCACTTCCAAATTCGTTTTCATCTTATCATAAGAAAAGGAACATTACCTAATCTTAAAGCGATAATAGGAACAATTACACTGGATGACAGGGTATCCAAGTCATTATTAACAAGAGGGACAATTTAGATCAACACCTGATGAAGACATCCATTTGAATCACATAAACCGCCAGATATCACTTATCAGGAGGGGAATAGTTAAATTTATTTTGGTCACGAATTCGAAAAGAGATCATATGAAAAACCCAAGTTATACCCAAACAAACTAGGACTTTAATATAAATATCAAAACGACAAAATAATCTATGCGAAAAGAGATGAAACCCCAAATAAAGACCGACATAAAACGAGGTTTATATCTTCAGATCTAAAATTTACTCCTTTTAGAAATTAAATGGTCTCAAATTCATAATAGAGAACTTCTGACCCATTTCTGATTTCCAATATTAGCCAAAGCCACTGGCCATTCCAGGGAGATTGTGTGGCAGACCTACAAATTGAACTCTGCACCACAATCTTATAAAAAATGTCCTAACGATGGCAGAATAAAGGATAAGATAAAAAATGAAGTAAAAGCAATCAACAATTACACGTTTAGAGTAAATATAATAGCCGGAAGGGTTAATCAATGGACAGAAAATGTAATTAAAAGTGAGATCAGGATAAGTTGAGAATGCAGAGTTAAATCAACCTATAGTGATTCTACCCGATTTGTAATTTCGATCGATCAAATCACTTTGGAGGAACATATGAAGGCACTTCTCATTTTGTACTAAGGGATGACCGGCAACCCTAAAAATATAAAAATTAAATGGAAAGGAAACATACTTGTTGATAAATTCTTCTAATCCCCTTCTTCTGGTCTCAATAAAATCCCTGTCAAATAGGCCATCATCAGCACGCAATGGAAGCATCCTTTTCCAAGCCTTACCGGGGAGTTTAGGAACAATAATCTAAGAAAAAGTTCAAATGGTGTTAAATAACATGATTCAAATAAGAACATGATAAATGTAAAAAACACTCACTTTGCTTTCTCGATCTAGCTCGCCACGAAGCCAGTCAAAATCACGATATCTTCTCCTCACGCTTGACTCAGAAAATTGGAATACGGGGAGATTTGTCTACATAATTAGAAAAAAATTGGAATAAAATAAGTACCTTCATCTTCACCTCGTAGTCGACGTAACGGTTGCCAGCTTCACCATGAATTTGGGGATTGCATACATCAATTTCAAGGAAATTAGCGGGAGGTGAATAGGCATCTGCCAAAGTTTGTTCTTTTGACTGAAGCCTTTGTGTAGCAGACGACATTTATCAAGGATAAGATTATGAGCACAACAATACAAGTATTCACACGAAAATGATTGACCACGAGCGATTGTAACGACCTTATAAAAACATTATTCCATTATTTTGTGCCATTATTAACTGCCTAAATGGTCTTTCTGGTTTAGAATATTATTAATTTATTGTTGTAATTTTTGAATGTTCTAATTTAATTAATAACTCACCTTTCATGAATATTTATTTTTTGACATAACTTAATCCAATGCAATAAATTAATAATGTTCAACAAATATTATTCAATTTATTACCATTGATATATATATATATATATAGATTATTCTGTTTTAAATTGATAAGAATTCATTTAGACTCTGTCTTCAATAAATTTATTTTGTCTTTCTATTTCCATAAGAGGCTGGTGTTTTCTGACGTTAAGTAGTCTACTTTATGCAGATAGAAGCCTCAGACACCATGAAGAAGAAGGACAAGATTTCGGCAATAGACTGGTCATTGGTTTTAAAACTAATAGTTAGGTCATAAAATCCAATTTTGATTAAATGAATATACGGTTAAATTAGACTGGTTCGAATTTCCGTGTTATGATTGAGTGCTATTCGTGCTTTTTTGTACACTTATTCAATTAGCCTAAGCCTAGTTACTCTTGTAAAAGTCCTATCTTTCACATGTATTCTTTAATGTCTTCCTCCGAAAACACGTCGGTATTCTCATGTTCAAAACGGAAAATGGATAATCTTAAGAACAATTTTTATTCATCTGAGCAAATATGTTTAGTAATTTCTTTTTGGTGCTACAATTAGATAATTGCATTAAATAATTAATAATGAGTCAAAGAATAAATTACTTAGTGGTCTAATTCTGTGTACCCATTTATTAAATCCACAGATCAGAAATATTAAATTTTGATAAACTCCCTTATGAATTAAACAAGTTTATGCTGAATATAATAGTTGCACGAAAATACATACACCATCCAACCGCTCTTCCTATTTGTTTTCTGTGTGAAAAGATATTTCTATTATTTCAAATCAATGGCTGCACAATGATGTGATTAACGAATATCCCCATCATTCAAACACTTAGAATTTAATCAAATTCGCCAACAGATGCGCAGTAGGTAGTAAAAGTGCCTGATGCACTAATATTCTTAAGCAACAAATTTACTAAGTTTTTTTCAATCAAATACTCTAATACTAACATTGCTTCATCGTTCTATTTTTTCAATAAGGTTGAACATTTTTGAAGGCTTAAAACTTTTAAATCCCCTTATTTGAATAAATTTTCTGCACTTGAGGCCCCTATAAGCCAATAGTAAAGTTCACGCCTGCAAAGATTAGACCGCCAAATCGAATTTCTTGCATTCTTCATGAGCAACATGATTAAAATAAATACTTGGTGAATTCTTGCCGACATCTTTCATCGCCGACATTTTAGAGGCTTCTTTGCATGGAAAGGTGTATGGGAATAGTGGAGGCAGTCGTACAAGGTACATATTTCTAAAAATGTATTTTTATGCCCTACCTGGCCGTGCGAACGCATGAAGATCATTTAATAATAACTACTTTGACATCTGTGGGGTGTGCGATAGACTTACCTCAACGTGGTGCACCTTGGGCAACGTATACTCATATAGCAAAAAAGTCTATAAACCGGCAGTTGACTTCTGACTTCAAACTACCATCACCCCACTGTATGTCATAATCGACACAGTACTCATCTTACCTCTTTTTCACTCTAACTTTGTGTCTGTCTATCTCTTATACATCTTTAAATCTCTCTACGATACTCCCTCTTCAATTTTTCTCACTTTGATGTTCCTTCCCTCTGTGAACCCCGAAGTCAGCTTAAAGGCTAATGATAATTATCAAAACACCTGCCATTTGATATTAATAAATAAATAACTTTGACATCTGTAAATTTGACTAAACCCACCATTTATCCAGGCATCTCCTGTTTTATGGCTCCATAAAATGGAAACTTTGAGTTTCCACCTGCTACCTTTCTTTGCCTAATTTCAATATATCTCAGACAACTTACCCCCCCCCTCTCTAATTAATCAAAAGTGCTTTTGATCGTTACATCATCGTAAATATTTCAATAGTTCAGCGGCTCATAATAAATCAATAATAATATTTCACTATCCACGACTAAAAGTTTGACCCAAGTGTTTTTCAGACACGTTGAAAAACTTAGTCATTCTTTACTCAATATTCCTTTATGGTAGAAGTGCTTGCCTCGCATTATCAAGCTTTCCGTGTTCTCACTAATGAGGACTTAGAGAAGCTAACTTCAAGGTCAATTTATATCAGGAAATTCAGCCGGGGTCCTGGTGTACTTGTAAGGTTTGAGCCAAGGGCGTATTTTTTGTTGTTGCTATTCTATTTTCTGACAATGCAATTACCCTTGGCGTAAGCCACCATCACATTCTGCATGACTATGGTGAATGCTCAGATTACCAATATGTCACAAATTTATTTATACCAAATGGCAGGCGTTTTGATAGTTATCATTAGCCCTGTAGTTGACCTCGGGCTTCACAGGGGGAAGGAACATCGAAGTAACAGAAAGTCGAGGGGTGGGGGACAGAAAAAGTGATTTAAGGATGTAAAGGAGACAGTCACAAAGGTATAGAAAAGGTAGGAGGAGTACTGTGGAAGTTGTAGAATATGGCATGCAGTGGGGTCATGGTAGTTTGAAGTCAGAAGTCAACTGCCAGTTAATAGACTTTTTGTCACAAATTAGTAAGGTAACACTGCTACTATGCACATCTAAATCTAACTTGTAATAATTTTGAATTTCATAATCTTATTTAACTCGCGAGTCCTCGCTGTTTTTTGCCAATAATCAATAAAAAACAAGTATTTATGTAAAATTTTTATTTCCTAATATATTTGCATAGAGAGTGAAATTGTAGATGGAAGAAGGCGTGTATTTTCAAGAGAATAAAGTCAATTAATACCATTTTAAAACCTGTTAAGAGGGTGCAGGTGTAGTCTCCTCGTTACCCAGATGCAGCCTTAAAAATGTGGAAACAATAGGATATTAGTAACTAATGCAAAAGGCAGTAACGAAAGTGTCAGTAAGTAGATGACCAACCTAATTAGTAGGACCTGAGTTAGTGCTGACATCGGAACAACTGGAATGTTGGCTTGGGAACAGTTCATCGGTTTGAATGCGACGATTTAACGGGAAACAGACGGCCACGGTTGTCGAGGTGCTGGAGGTATTCCAATCAGTACCTTCTCGAGAGTCCTGCTCATTTCCACTATCTTCCAACGAGTTCGGGGATTTTTCGACGATATGAACATTAGGGCTAAAGTGAAATTAAATATTGAGCTAAAATAGAAGCGAGACACAATAGATCCGCTTTCGAAGGAGAAATAGGGGCCATTAGGATAGCACTATGCCAATTATGTTACCTGGATACGAAATTCACCAAAGCGGTGATACTTTCGGACTCACAGTCAGTAATAAACTCAATCGGAAACAGAGTGCCACCCAAAACATCTGAGATAAACGAATGTAGAAAACTCTATCAGCTGCTGAAAGAGAAAAACAAAACAATGGTCCTGCAATGGATTCCTGATCACCGTGGCATTAAAGAAAATGAGCTTGCTGACACACTTGCTAAGAAGATGACAACGATTTTGCAATGCATGGACCGGCCGATGTCGTTCCACACAATGAAGGCCTTAATCAGAAGAGAATTCCAGACCTCAACGAACTTAAAGCTCGAACAAAGGAGAAACAGTGAACAGTGGCACTCTCTGACATAGCCGACTGGCGAAGAATCGAAGCCGTTGCTGAGTTTAGACTAAGTACCGGACACAATCGCTTGGCAAAACACCTTCACAGNCATACAGTGGGGTGATGGTAGTTTGAAGTAAGAACTCAACTGTCAGTCAATAGACTTTTTTGCCGTATGAGTATACGTTGCCCAGGATGCACCACGTGGAGGTAAGTCTATCGCACACCCCATAATGTCCCAAGTAATTTGGTATTGAGTGGATCATGTTGCACTGAAAGCAAATTGTCGTTGAGATGATCAGGCGAGAAATGTTGACGCTTTAAAGTTTTTCGAAATAATTTTTAAAGTAATTACTATTTGCATTTAAATATATACACATTTTTATATTTCAAGGTAAATAATTAAATGTCGAATTAGATTGTCCGCTACGTTTGCTAATGGTCTTCGGTTCGAGCCCTTACAGTGACATTGAGGTGAGCTTGATTGACTAAATGTTCACAAAATATATAAATCACCCTAAATTGTAAAGTTATATGGCCAGCTTGAAACAGTTGACTCTTTTTAAGAATCGAGTGTCAGAAATTTAGTTTTATTCGCACTAGTAATTTGCAGGAGTGGTGATTAGACTCCGATATTAAGCAATTTGTTAGACTTTAATTAATAATAATAATAAAATTCTCTTGCCTTGTACTATGTTGAAACATTTAAACTTTTCCTCCCCATTAGCAAAATTTTTGTGATTCAAAGGAGGTTCCATAAAGCCCAGCTACATTTGGTTTTGCATTTGCATTATATATAATAAGTATTTAAATATTCCAAAAAATTAAATTCTTTGATTCGTCACCTGAGGTGCAAAGCAAGTTCAAGCCCACAGTAACCTGTGCTTATTGAAAGTTGGTTTAATAATGATTGAGAAATAGAGGTAGAATAAATGAGATATTAAGTAGCTTAACACGCCCTTGACACAGAACTTGGAGAACGGACTATTGATCCGCGTATATCAATCCAGTTGATCATCATCATCTTTCAAATAGTTGCCAATGGGCTCCGGTTACCCAAACTTTCGCAAATCGAGGACACAATACTCTCCTAACATGAGGACTTTGGAATATGCTTGAGAGACTCCGATTTCTAGTGATCTATTGGGTTGGCAACTAAGTCATTGCCGTTTTTGTTGACCGATTCACTCTATACTTTCTTTTGTTTCGTTAACGTGGCCAGAGCATCTAACCTATATTTTTTTCTTACTCTATGGGCTTCTAGGTTAATTAGTAAAAAATTCTTTTTGTTTAGTTCTTTAGTTTTGTTTTTATCCCAATTTAAAAATGAAAGAACAGGACGTGCACTTCTGACACATTTTATTGTATTACTTCCGAAAAGGCAAGAACGCATCGCAAGCACAAAAGAAGTTATGTGCCGTATATGGAGATGAAGCCGTGAGGAAGAAAGGCAGTGTCGAAATTGGTTTGAAAGATTTCATTCCAGTGATTTTTCACTGAAAAATTCACAACGATCTGGCCGCCCAGTCGAAGTGGATGAAACCCATATCAAGGCCATTATCGATTCAAATCGTCACAGCACAACACGAGATATTGCAGAGAAGNGTCCTGCTCATTTCCACTATCTTCCAACGAGTTCGGGGATTTTTCGACGATATGAACATTAGGGCTAAAGTGAAATTAAATATTGAGCTAAAATAGAAGCGAGACACAATAGATCCGCTTTCGAAGGAGAAATAGGGGCCATTAGGATAGCACTATGCCAATTATGTTACCTGGATACGAAATTCACCAAAGCGGTGATACTTTCGGACTCACAGTCAGTAATAAACTCAATCGGAAACAGAGTGCCACCCAAAACATCTGAGATAAACGAATGTAGAAAACTCTATCAGCTGCTGAAAGAGAAAAACAAAACAATGGTCCTGCAATGGATTCCTGATCACCGTGGCATTAAAGAAAATGAGCTTGCTGACACACTTGCTAAGAAGATGACAACGATTTTGCAATGCATGGACCGGCCGATGTCGTTCCACACAATGAAGGCCTTAATCAGAAGAGAATTCCAGACCTCAACGAACTTAAAGCTCGAACAAAGGAGAAACAGTGAACAGTGGCACTCTCTGACATAGCCGACTGGCGAAGAATCGAAGCCGTTGCTGAGTTTAGACTAAGTACCGGACACAATCGCTTGGCAAAACACCTTCACAGATTGGAAGCATACACTCAACCAACATGCCCCCTATGCAACCTACAGGAGGAAATTAAGAAGGCCCACCTGATTCGGTAACCTACGTATACACTCAACCCACATGCCCTCTATGTAACCTACATTTGAGAAGACCCACCTGATTCGGTGTCCAGCCCTAAAGACAACGACGGAAACCCAGAGATACTGGGAAGCAAAAAAAGACAAAGACAACGACGGAAAGCCAGAGATACTGGGTAGCAAGAAGATAGCTAATGAACTACTATTAATTAACTGCTATATATGTACCCCCCCCCCACCCATGGGGGAAGCTGAAGTTAAAGTTTAAGGGCTAATGATAAATATCATAAAGCCTGCCGTTTGAAATAATAATATTAAGCTAAAATAATGGTATTTAAATAGGTTGGTAAAGTTTAACACCATGAATTCAAGTTATTTCTGAAACCCATTTCGATAGACATAACAAATGAAGACTGTGAGAAATGGCGATATTTTGACCCAATCTACAAGCCACGAAGCACGTTGCAAATGAGGAAAGTAGAAAGTAAGCAAAGTTAGCCTCGTCTGAAATACTTTCAACAAACCTGTGTTCGATAACAGTCCCCGTTTCAAGCTCACTGGTATTGGATGTTTCCGAGAAAGGGGAGCACAATTCAACTAGAAAGAAGAAAATAGAGGCGAGTAATTTATTAATTTATTATTATTAATATTCTGCACAAAATGGGCATTGGAATAAGAAAAAAACTTTAGGAGTATTTTAATTCCGTTTTCTGGGCACTTGGAAATTGATTTATTGATTGATTGGAAAATGGTTAATGCTTATGAAACACAGCTCTTCCCATAGGATTCTTTTAGAGTCAGATTTCATATGTTTTTACCGAAATGTCTTGTAATGGCTATTAAATTGTCCCCCCCCCCCCCCCAGAAGCGAAACTAACTGCAACCAAGTTTAATATGCCTCTGGAAGAGAGGCATGTATCGAAGAGGAAAGAGTTCACTGTAAATGGTAGTAATTATGTGAGCAAATAAAAAGGAGAGCTACGTTACATGAATCTTGAAGGCCGTTTGGTTAAGACGCCTTTACATAGCGTCAGCAAGCTTTGTCTAACGTCTAGGCACAAGTACCTCCTGGTAATGCTTAAGACCAGTAATTACGTGAATGGCTTTCCTCTCGTGCCAAATTGTAGGCGCTTTCTGTGGTGACACGACTTTTCATGTTTCCTTTGGGTCAACTGCACTTTTCGAGTTACAGTAGCAAGAGGAGGAATTGGCACATCGATCACCAAAAAAAAAGCAAAAAAATAAGCTTTTGTTTGGTGAGCGAGATGTTAAAATGAAAGGGCAAGTAGGGAAAAACAATTGACATGATTACTTCGCAGCCCAGGGGACGCCTGTGTCCAACGAACTTCTGATCCTCATTTCCATTGCTTCAATGCTTCCCCTTAGCAGAGCTCCACTCCTCATGAATTTAGAGTTCACAGCTAAGCCAAAAACTGTACCGCATTTCATAATTATCTCATGCTTAGTCATGCTTTTTTATTATTTACTATTTAAAGTTTAAGATAATTTTACTCATCTCGAATAGAGAAGTTGTTTGATTATGTGACGGCGAGGATACAGTGTTGTCGGTGGCCAATTAAAGACACGAAATGAGAGATGTTTCCCTTCTTACTATTTCGATCTTTCAACTATTTTTACGGATTTAGAAGAAAGAATTTCAGGTAAGGTAACAGCTTTTCTACCACTTTAAGACGAATGGTGATTTGTGCTCCAAGATTTAAGTGTGAAAACACACAAATGACCTCAAATGTGCTATTACAAATGGAAATTGCTTTGATTCGAACGCATTTTAGCATCTGAGCCAGTGTATCGGTAATAACTTACTTGGAGTAATCTGTTCATACTTTGCAATCCGGTTTCTCAACAGAACAGCGGCTTTACAATTCCCTGGAAGTCGTCCTTTCTCCAGCATCGACTTAATCGCCTCGCAGGGTTTCAAATGGTACCTCTTTGCATCCTCTTCCTCCACGTTGTTAGCACAACTGACGGCTATTGTAAGTGGAGCAATCGACTTGTCATGGCCGTTACTAATGGCTGAATTTTCACTATTTGTACGAACTCTACTCATAATTGCATCCAATCGAGCGCGTCGCTTTTCTCTACCGGCTATATCGGAGGCAGCATTTGAGAGAACACTAAGAATTTCCGACTGTGATTTTAAAGGGCACTGAAAAAAAATATTGCGCCTCATTATAAGTAAGGAATTCAAGTTTTTTTTTTCAAGAATAAAAAATCCTGGTTGACTCACCTCAGTGGGGGCAGATAGTGCCATGTTCTCGACGGCATTATTAAACACCTTTCTGGAAGTTGCTAGAGCACTCCCAACCACCGCCTTACTGTCATCGGTTTTGATTCCATTCCTGGCTGAAATGTGGGCGAGATATTTAGCAGCTTTGCAAGCAACCGTTTCATTTCCTGAAATGGCCTTGGTGGCTTCAGCTGCCTCGGCTTTTAGCTCAGCTATAGCGTAGGAAATGGCTTCGTTGACAACTGATCTGGCCATTTCTTCCATCTGCTTGTTCATCTCCTCTTCACGTTGCCTAAAGCCGTGTATATTGATTTGATTAGTATTAATTAGATTATCAACAGAGTAGGCGAATTGTTTGCTTACTTTCCTTTTATCATTTCAAATATTTAATAATACCATCATCATCATAGAATGCTCAATTTTTTCAATTATTGAAATAAAGGATGTATTGAGTTGTCGAGACCGAGCTTATTGATTAGAAAATCGATCAGCAAGCACTGACAATTGATTTGAAGGCATTTGCTCAATCCAGAGCATGAATTATAAATGTTAAATTTCATTAAAAAAATGGTATAACTCGAGTCATTGTCAAAGCATTTATTTCAATTTATTGTAGCCAATTTTGTCGTTTTATTAATTAATTAATTATAAATATTTTATTTAGTATTTATTCATTATTAAAAATAACGATACAGGATTTATTACCAACAGATGATCAATGACTACTGTGGGACACGTTATTGCTCTGTGCGTCATCGAATGCCTGCATGTCTGCTCGCCAGGATTGGGAGGTGCGGCCGTACAAACAGTGACCAATCATTAACCTCTGTTTAACCTAATCCCCCATCCTGATCATGAGTAGCTCCCTGCGTACACACTCACTTTATCCGCAATATACGTCCTGAATAGACGTGCTCCGTGCTACACGTCTGTTTCCTTTCGTAGCTGGGCTATAGCCTAGCTGGCTCTGCGAGTCTAGCTAGATGTCGGAGGATCTGCCATAGAGATTTCTGATTCAGTCAGGCTTTACTGTCGTAGCAATCCGCTACACTACAAACAATCTAAAAGTCCCATATTCTAGAATTTTTTCGTTTTGTCAATATATATATATATATATATGTGCTCCTGAAATTGGTTGGCCCAAGCTCAACTAATTATGGAGATTTGAATGCGTAAAACTAGACCAACTGTCATCTTGATGCAATTGCAATAATGTTATTTAACGGAGGGCCAATATTGAGGGTAGAATTTGGCACTCTCGTTTTAGGGAGACTTCTACTCTTCACTTTGAATCAACAGCGTTCCGTGTAGTGAGATCCATTTCTGCATGGCTATTAATTTAAGCAAATGGCTTCGAACTCAAACATACTAATTTAGTGCATTCAAGCAACACAGATAAACTTCATCTTGATTTTGTTCGATTAACCATTACTTGGCATCTGGGCCTACGCAAGGTCATCCGTAAAAAAAACCTATCACTGTTCAAGTTTTTTTTATTATTCGTCAACCGAAAACCAATGATTGAGAAATGGGGTGTACGATAGAACTACTTTCACGTGGTGCATCCTAGGCAAAGTATACTCATACGGCAAAAAGGTCTATTAACCGGCAGTTGACTTCTGACTTCAAACTACCATCACCCCACTGTATGTCATATTCGACCCCTTCAAAAGTACTCCCCTCACCTTTTCTCTGTTTCTTTTACATCTTTGAAACACTCTTCTGTTTCCCTCCCCTCTCGAATTTTTTCAATTTGATGTTCCTCCTCCCCTCTGTGAAGCCTGAAGTCAATTAAAGGGCTAATGATAACCATCAAGACGCCTGCCATTTGATATAAATAAATGTTTGAGATATACGTTTTCAACTTCTTCCTTAATGGTATCTACGTCG